TACTACTTTGATTTTTGCTTTATGCGCTCTTCAAACGGACCCGTTTCCTTAACCGAATATTGGTTATCCTTCTTTTATATATCAGGTAAATTGGGGGGGGGGGGTGAAAGGACTCGTTATTGTTATTCCTATTATTATCATTACAAATTAAAAAATACAAACATTGACAGTAAAACAGTAGAATAGTGGAGTGGAATTGGTGTCAGCAACATTGTGTTCTTCCTCAAGGATTGTAGCCAATCAGTTTCTGAATCAAATTGACTCTTTTGTTGTGTTATTATTAAAAAAACGTTTACCCTGTCTGTGCTTTAGATGGTTCTTGTTTCAACGCTGAAAATCTATACAGGAGTGATCGAGTACAGTATGTCGAACAAATGACAGAAAACGTCAGCAACAAAATAAACCGTGCACACAGCTGTAGACAACTAGGTATGTGTATGGTGCACTAAACAATTCAAGAATATATCATCATGCTTTCGAGTTGTCAGTTTGAGGAACAGTATTGTGGGAACTCCGGTTCTTTGTAAGTATATGCGTTTTTATATGGAAAACTCCATATCCGACAGTAGGATGAACCCACCTAAACTGAACTAGAAAATCGACTGGTGCACAAATGGCCTGTAATGTTTCTGTTGCGTTCCATTATTTATTTGATTACTCTCACTCTCGAGACGCCACGATTTTGTTGCATAACACGATCAGTTTGTCGTTGTTCCACAACAACCCCCATTGCTCCCATTAGTTCCCATAAAAATTCTCGTCACTGGTAAGTGTGGCTAGACAGTCTGTCGTAAACACTGGGATTACAAACTCTTGCACCTAGCACAACAGTTCGTTCTAACACTAGTTGATCCCATCCCGATAAAACTCGCGAAATCGATCTGACAGGTATATTTAAACTTCCGGATAGAATGTGCCCCGAATAATTTAGAACACGCAAACCACCAAAACTAATCACTCGCTTGTGCTGCCATATGCAACGGTTTTTGCAATGGTTTGCACTTGCCTGCTCTCTTAGTGAACATATTATATGTGAAAGTGCGAATGTTTCGAAACATGAGCAGAACAGAAAATGACGGCAAGTAATTTATTTATAATCCTTTTAGGGTGCATTTTTTTTTAACCTTGAGGTTCTGTAGGGAAATCAACAGACCGGATAGTTCAAACAAACCGCGTCAGATTTGGGTGAACACAAGCTAGCTCCTTTTAACTATTCCTACAAGTTTAATTCCTTTGAATAGTTTCCAGAACGAATTAAATAGTCACGTGTTAACCGGTTCCACAAATATGCATTAACTCCTACTGTAGAAGGCGGTTTTTTCTATCAATCAGCCCCGATACACGACTATATTTCGCATTATAATGCGACCAATTCAAAATAAATGAGGTTAATATTCCTTCTGCACCATAAATTCAAATTTGTTCGTCACCGTAGAACAAATTAAGTGTGTTTTATGACGATTGAAGGGCACCGTTACGTTCGTGAAAGAAATTGAGAGACTACAGATTCAATTTACTTTCTATGCTCAGTTCTGATTTCAAATACAAAGAATTGTAAACTTAATGAATAAGTGAAATCGCTTAACTCCTCCGCTTTTTACAACTGCTTCATACTCAGTTTATTTAAATTTGTGCATGCTCGTGGTAGTATTCTGTCGAGAGGGACTCAAATCCCAATCGAAAGCTATATATTTCCAGTCCCCACAGACACAAACACATGTTGTACACGGTTAATGAGTTCCAATCAGAACAAAACAGCGATTCTGTGGTGTCCTTCGGTCTTCATTCACAAACGTTCCATTTCAGTTGCTGATTCTTCTGAGTGAAAGTATTATATAGACAGTGCAGAGTAGTCTAGCACCTCGTGGAAAGCTTATTGATCATGAACTAGTTAGTATCATAATGGACTCGTGTTTCTATAATAAGCATACTCAATCGAACATCGAAACCATAACATTGCAGATGATGTGTAAGGTGAAGAACTGTTCATGAGCTTCACACAACTTTGCTCAACTCGTTGCAATAATATATCCTTCATCAGTAAACACTGTTGCACAACATTTGCGTATTTGACTCTCTGAAAAGCGATCACTCAAGTTCAATCTAAAGGAAGGCAACCATGTATGGCAGTGGCTTCACTTTTACCGGTGAGGGTGGTTTTAGGCAAACAGAGCCAGTGGGAATGCATGTGAACGGATTGTAACCCAACCGGAATTTTAAGTAGCACTGACTTGTTTATTTAGAACAAGTTGGTTCTTTTAGGCAAATGAAAATTGAAACGAATGCAGCCAGAGAAAAGTCGTGCTATTCCAAACCGCTTTAAAGTTCTTATTCGTGAAATACAGCTATGATCAGAACTGAAGCGACGGGCCCCAGTGAAACACTTGAAGGTTCATATAGGCAAGAACATTTAAGCTAACGTGAATATTTTTTCCAAAAATAANATAATAACAAACAACCTTTTATAAGTCTTTAGAGCCGTGATCTTCATGATTAGTTTATACTCGGCAGAAAGAATTGTTCAGAATGTGGCGGATACTCCCATTTCCTCAATAGTGATTAACTTAGACAATGATGAGTTAAAAGCTAACTAAGGAGCATACAATAATTTTATATACAACAAATTAATATTAGTAATACGAAAGATGTAATGTTTGTGTAAATTAATAGTCGATGGACCTGCCTTTGTTCTTTATGATCTTTTCCAGTCTCTTTAGCATCTAATCCACCAAGTTTGTTATGAAGTAATTTTCTATTTTCTGCTCCATTACGTGTCGCACTTTTGCCTTCAATGTCCAATGTACAAGTAGCGCATTGACCTCTGACTTCAAAACAGAAAACAGATTTTCAATCACACCGAGACCCGGGCTATGAGGAGATGTTGCATGAACTAGATCTTGGAGTCATGCATCTTTTCTGAAATCTAAAAGCAATTAATAAGTGAACCAAACTCCCTAACTAAATAAAACACTTTTAAATGTTTCCGAAAAATGCTGGTACTAGACACTTGTATACGATATTCAATTATTCATTGATCATGTTGCCATAATGGTGTTTGCACCCGACCTCATTGCACACAATCTTTATCAACCAACTTTGTCCTCATATATATGTTATAGAACGAGCTTATTTAACATTGTTCTGATTACGTACAGTAAAATACAACAGAAATGCTAGAACCACGGAATCATCACGTTGAACGATTGTTAAACATTAAGTTCAGATAACTGAACTAAACAACCACAAATCGGGACCCAAATAACCTCAGAATCAGCTTTCTGCCGTTTATAACCTGGTGCTTTTGCAATCAAATTGAATCGAGTGGATTTTTTGTGTCATCACGGTAGTTGTCTCGTGGATTTCAATAGTCAAAGCTTGTACACTAGGTAAGTAACCCAACGGTAAGTCATGGTCAGCCATATTGACCGTATGAAATAGATAAATTGAATTCTAATAGATCGCAAACTGAAACCCATTGGAGCCGAACAAAAACACGCAATGCCATCCAATACATGAGCTCCTGGAGTGGAACCAATAGCGAACAAGAGAAACGCCAGTATATCCTGATAAGCAAAAAATCTATAGCCCTCCATTTATTCTTTCCTTTTATGGGTGATTTGAAAAATATTTATCCAAATGTTAAAACAAGTCTAGCCTTTTAATTCGACCAATTCTATTTAGAAAAGGGAAGACGCTATTTTCTTAGTTAATTCTTTTTTACTATGGCAAGGTCAACTGCAGTTCTGGCGTGTTTTCTTGTGTTACTGACAGCTTTTCTTTTAATTCATTTAAGCCCTCTCTTAGCCAACAGAATAGTTTTGACTGAAACAACTATTAATAAATGAAAGTTTCTTTCCCCAGAGCCACTCAGGATATTCCTTAGTTAAGTCCGAACAAATACGAGATGTCAACGCTGATAAAATATATACTATGAAGGATTGTATGCATTTGATGATCAACGAGGTTTGGGAATAAGACAGAGTCAGTGCTTTGGAGGGGGGTTGACTTCCGGTTCCAAACACACAAGACCTACGATGGAATGATAGATGACGTCATATAACGTCTACGTCGGCGATCTAGGTCGCTGCCATCGGCATGTTCTGATATAAGAGCTCTGACATTTCAAAACTATTATCTCTATTCATATTTATCGGTAAGCGGCTTTCCTGCCATTCTGTTCATTACCGCTTCTATTCTATCGCGTATTTTGATGATTAGGGTTCAGGTTTCTGGTTCCCATGGTTAACTGGCAACCCCTGATAAACACGTGAAACATTATTTTCATTGTTGGTCACACTAATGTGTGCAATAAAAATGCGATGATTGGAATTAAGCTAACGTTGACCCATCTAAATGCATCTCGTGTCTAGGTAGGTGGCCCCATATCTCTACCGCTTCCAGTGAACAGGTAACTTTCCCTCAAAATTTTGCTTGCATCATCAAAACCCTCTAGATGAGTGACTAGGTAGCAGCACTTTGATCCGACCCTTTAAAACGAACGTCTTGATGAAAAGCTTTTCATATCCATGAAATCCACAGCCCTGGTTGATCGTTATCTTGTCTCTTCACTCTCAATATTTTGCACTGAATACTGTTATATTTCGTGTTCATTAAAGCTTGTATTTCAGGAATATGCCTAAAAATCCATTAGATGAGTTATCGACTTCAGTGTTCAGAATTATTAGCAGACAAGCGAGACTTGTTTTCCCTAACTCAATAAATTATTTTCTGTGATCTTATTGCAAGTTTGAGGAAGTAGCCTCCTGGAATCAAAATAATGCGATCATCGTTGAGATAGGTACCAATTTTATGAGATATTATCGTCCCCAATTCCGCTGTACTGCCCCGAGAAAGCTATGTCACTAGTATACAGACAAAGAACGTAGAAAAAGGAGTAAATCGTCGACCATTCGCGAGTGCGAACTGTTGTTTAGGTGATTTCTGAACAACTTGATAAAACCACCCAGAAAATTCTTCCTTTGTAATAAATTCTTAAAAGCCTATTCATCAATCGATATGTCTTTCTCCGTCCAAAAATTAAGGCTTGTTTCAATAACCCCACTTACCCAACGCAATAGTTTTAGCATTCTTGAACCACTCGGCAGGCACCTCATTCCCGGTGGCCATGAACACGACACAGTGTTCACACAAATTCCTCGACGAATCCATCGGGGCCAGAACAATGGGCCAAGATCCTCCCACATGAAATCCATGCGACATGTGGCTAATTGTACCAGCCACTCTTTCATTAGTGTTATCTGTTCGCTGGTGAACTCAATTGGAATAACCACATCAGTGCCTTTAGCCGGTCGAAATACAGTGAAATTCAGATTGTCCACTGCCATCAGAATGTGTTTACTTGGTTTGGGCATGTCCATACGCATCATGACGGAGCGCGGTAATTTACCGGAATCTTCATGCAATTTTGGTGGTGGATCAATAGACATCCATTCCGATTGGAGATCTGGGCCTAGAATTTTGCGCAATTTACGGACGGAACCAGGATGTGCACTAGGTCTTAGATGCAACAGCGCTTTGCTGTCGATTCGTTCACCCATTACTCGAACATCTACTCGAGCGAATTCTTGCGAGTGCTCTGGTGGCCAAGAACGATCCTCATTGACGACCGTTCGAGAATTGGCGACAGGTACAACCAAAGCATTCGAAGGTGGCCCGGGCTGTGAGGACCGAACAACAATTTGTGCCAAAGGTGAAGAAGTAGCCGAATTTCCGACATTTGTTTGCACTGATCCACTATCACGAACGCTGCCATGATTGATAATAAGTGGCCGTGTGAAGGACGGTGTATTCGAATCTGATTGAAGACGTCCGTGAGGTGAGTCAGCCGCATAGTTAGATCTCGGTCGACTTTCCGAGGAATCTGACTGAGTTTGGCTGCCTGATTGGGATGCTGCTGCTGCAGCCGCTGCCATTGCAGCAGCTCTTTGTCGAGTCAAAACATCACTCACTCGAACAGTCACTTTGCGAGAATAATCCGCGTTAGCAACGTCTCTGGACGAACTCAATCGATTCCCGGTAGTGATCATGGCAAGTTGTTGTTTGGCATAGGTACCCACCACCGTAGTAAATGTCTCCTGACTGATCAAGAACGAAAAGATGACCAGCGCATATCCCTCGGAAAAGCATGGAATTATTCGCATAGTTGATGGATGAAAATGGAAACAGGATATCTGTCAAGCAATAGGGTATTTTTAGTAAATTACGTTGGTTGATCCACAAACTCCCTTTCAGATGGCTGTTAATCTATGACGACCGATAGGAATTGGACAGTCATGGGAAACACGAACGAAATTAATTATTTGTTGACTGAATTGCTCTTGCCGATGGTGGTCGCAGTGGTGGTAGTGGTGGATCTTATTGTGACGCTAACCTCTCAAACATACAAGACCGCGAATTTCTGTCGGGAACCGTTTTGCCTCACACCAAAAACCGGAGCTCATCAACGCAGAGTAAGCGATGAATACTTTCGATACCAGAGGCCACGCACAATAGCATCCGCAAAGACCACCACAAATCCCAAAATCACAAAGGCTCAACGGATTTCCTAGGCGTCCGTCGACCAGTAGAGTTACTTTATTCCTGATGTATGCGGGTGGAAGGGACGGTGTGGTTTGACGTTCAGTTGGGGTTATCACCTCAGGTGATCTGTAAGATTTGGTTATTGGAATGGGGTGTATAATTGACTGAATTCAAGGGAAGACGTCCGAATGCTCTGTAGTTCATTACCAGACCTCGGATATAGTTCGCAATGTCTACATGCCTGTCTTTCTATCTATCCTCTTCCAGATTTGTCTACCACTCTAGCTACTCTTCATGCTCCTACATCCAGACCGTGTGTATTTTTGTTTCTTTGTGTTTATAGTAATCGGTGCGGCCGTTCAAACCACTCCACCAATCACAGTGCGATAGGGCTTTTGTGCAAACACACACGCACACGCACGCACGAACATACGCGTCGGCACGTACATGTGTGACTATACGCTTTCGCGGTTGTGTGATTACTCCGTATGACAATGAAAAATACGGTACAGCAAATGTCCTCCACAATGGTATGGAAAATCGGGTAGTAAAAATTACCCAAACCTGTTTACATAAATGTCCAACAAATATAACCATCAAAGTCGCATTTAACTACACGTTAATTGCTCTACACGTAGTAGCTGTCACACACAGACACACACACGCACAATCTTCGATCAGAGCAGTAATGTTCATCAAGTTATGGCTCCGCTCAACTGTGACTCAGAGCTGTTGTTTTGCTGTGATTTGATCAGTACCGTAAATTACGATCTTTTCGTTTCATATCATTCAGAAAAACCGCGCACATTGAAATACAAGGCAGAACAAATAACTATGCAGAAAAATAAGAATCTCATTGGCTAACAATTGAAAACCATGTGCATCGTTTGGTAAAATACTATTCCGTATGAAAATATTGGCAAATTTGGGCACAATTTTAGAAAAACAAAACAGAGATTAGCAACATGAGTCACACGATCACCAAGGTGAATAATTTTTCTAAACAGTGGTGTTGCAGACTTGCAGAAAGTGTAGGTCCAAGATTGAACACATTCACGGGACTAAACTCTGAAAATTTGCTGAGCGAACGCGAAAAACGTTACAAACGATAACATAGAAATCGTCGCATTTCACTCCATCTGTTATTAACAGTGGTCAACCAAGGCACGTAAGGGGTTAGTAGGGATTGGTCTTCTGCGTAAAGTTAAAATGACCCATCATTCCTGTTTTGAGTATAAATCGGGTTTGTGAGGAAATAGTCATTTAACGGATGTCTTTGTTTTTCATGTTTTTTCGATCGCATTCTTGTTCGGGTTCTTTTGCCTTGTACATAAGTTTTGCTGCAGAGTGAATTGACTGGCGGATGATATTGAACTTGTAGGGATGTTTGTTATATTTCGAATGACCGCAATTTCAAAGGTTATACTTAAGTGTGTAGCTTAAAGCCCTATTTGAAATCGTGCTAAGGAATTAAGTGTATTGCCGGTATCAGTCTACCTGACTACTTTGATGTTGAAGTGAGGTATCCATACTCAAAATGGATCGTAATGTAATACCTACTCCATGCATCCTTAGCAAACCATGGCGTCTATGATATCCTCAGGTGGTAATGTTTTGCTGATTGATACTTGTCCAAAGTTCCGCGTAGGTTTTCTTCCCAAGTTTTTTCAGATCTTGTGTAGCATAACGACACTTTGATTTGTTTTTCATCCCGTAAAATGTATCGTCTTCTGTTTTCCTTTCTAATATATTTAACAATATTGCTTTGGTACCCATCTCAAGATGCAGCACAATGGGGATCTAGTTCTAATAAAACTACTTCACTACTTCAATTTGTCCACTGATCAATGAGGACAATTCATCATTGTCGTTGACTCGATATTGGAATCGTATAACTACTACATTCTCCCTAAACCAGCTTTGTTCATTACTCATCATCGGTTTCAATTATGAAGCATGCCTAAAAGGTCTACAGTTAACCAGACTCTCTACGATTGGCCTTTTTTGACGAATATAGTATTTAGGACCACATGACAAACCATCATAAATTACCACGAAGTATAATCCTTGGTGTCAACGGTACTGTTTCCATGAATTACTTAATTAGTCAGGTTGTGAATGTTGCCAACCGAGTCATAACTCCAGAGGTTATTGCTGAGATGAGTGAGGTCCGTGGCCATCAACAAGCCTGTAAAAATGGGTTGTGATATATCGTGTAAATGCAAAATGCAAAACCACCCGATCAGCTGCCCGTTGGCCGAGCAGGTAGCATGCTTCCGTTCGGCTTGTGATGACCCGAGTTCGTTACTCAGTTGAGGCGATTAATTCACACTGCTGATGAAACCCAGCAATGTCAAAACAGCTGTCCAGTGCTCCCCCGTTTTTCATTTCACGCCTCATTTGCACTATACAGGACGAATTTTTATCTGAAATTACATCACATCCTCCATTACACACAAATTACCGAAGTGGTTAAATTCAGAGATAAGTTTGAATAACTTTGACTACATAAACTTATGAACTGGATAAGGAATATCATGAGCAGTTGACTCGTAGCTTTTGATACTATAAAGGACACTGCGAGAATATCTTGATTTTTCATTTGCCAGCCTGGTATCATAGTAATCGAGTTCCGTCATTATACTACGCCACGGTTTACAATGAATAATTTCAGAATAACCAGCCTTCCGCAGCACTTAACAAAAAAAACATTATATCTCCACACAATGTCCAACAAAGGTCACCCTCACTTTTGTACATGTGTATAGGTGATGTTTATATGCTGCAAAGTAGCGATTTTCATTCGAACAAGGAATTCTGTCATAGTGTCAACATAAAATGATTCATCTATATCATGAAACCGATACACTAGAGGTTAATTCATTTTATGCTCTATAAACAGGAATGAAACAAACCCGTTTGGAATTATTTGAATTAAACAATGGCTAGAGTTTTACATCATTGTTTATAGTTTTGAAGGTACCAGTCATCCAAAATCTTCAACCCAATGGAATTTATCAACACAGGAAACCGAATGCCTATACTCAAATCAAAGGCTCTTAAAGTAACACGTAAAACTTTTATTCTGAACATATCTCAGACGATCGACGATAGATCACCGGTGGGACAATGTGAGGAGTTCATGTGTAATACCTTCCACACTTGTCTTTGCTAACAATTTAATAAATCTCATTCGATTTTACGTTCCAAAATACGGACCTTCTCTCTAGTTTGAGCTCTTACGGATTTTGAGTTGCTTGTACTGAGAGCTGTATGGAAACCAAATTGCCGTGTGATTGATTAGATGTTAAATAATCATCAAGAATTATTTCGGGAATCCATGTTCCTTGTTAATGGTCAAAATAATACTGTACATAATTAGGTTTTCATTCTTACGGTTTCTCTAAAAAGGCAATAACAAATATTCTATCCTATATGCCTTAAAACATGGTTGAACTTTAAAGTAAAGATACAACTTGAAACCCTGAGAATGTGATTATTTCATTAAATTTCACCGGATTCTTATATAAATCTGCATGGGGCATCTAGTGGTCTCTCGCTCGCACTGAGCACGTGGTGGGCAAGGGCCGCTCAACTGACCGATTGTCCAAGGCAGCATGCTAAGTCACCCAAATACAGCGAGGTCGAGAGGTAGCAGACTGATACCAGATGACCATCAAAAACATGGTATTCGCTGCATCAAGATTACCTCCTTGTCCCATCTTACGTGGGAGGCTTTATCGACCTGGTTGGAGCACAGTGACAGTACCCATCCATTAATCGAACTGGGACTTGAGCCCTGGACCTAACAGGTAGAAAACAGTTCTAATAAATACTGTACTATCCAGATCATCACCGAACAAATGATCAGACCGTTTTTCATTTGGCTTCTGATAGTTGTATAGCTTGAAACAGATGACCGAAAAAGGTTCCTACACACATTCGTTTTACGAAAGAGACAAAGCAGATTATACAAGAGAGAACATCTGGTAAGCGGCCTAAGTCACTTACGCTATGGGGGTGTGGAACTGCAAAACTTGGTGTTCAAGGTTCGAATCCTACTCCAATCTTTTGACTCAAACCATAGACAACTAAACGCTCAAATCAGTCCGACATATATTCAATTTAGGTATCACTGTCTTCGTCACTGACAGTCATGTGGTCAAGGTTACACTTCTAAAGAATATGCATCCGATCTATTTCTTACCAATATATATTTTGCATTTGAAACACAACTTACAAGGTACTTCATCCCTGTGCTGGTGATCGATGTAACTCAATGGACTCAACAGCAGTGTAACTGAGAAGGGTAAAGGAAAATCTGAGCGAGTGGCAGATCGTAAAAGGAGTCAGTCTAGGCACACTGTCGCTCATCAGGGACTTGTAAAACGTTAAACTGAGTTCAACAGTGGTAAATTTCGAATTCAAAAGCATTTCAATGAATTTACTAGCTTTTCAGTGAATGCTTCACTTTAAAGAGTGCGTGACGTAAAACCGTTGGTAGGGCGTACTCACACTCTTCTATTTGATTAGTCGGGTGCTTCTAATAGGTTATTAATCTCTGTGGTACTTGATGGAGCAGTTTTAATTTTCTCTCCACAGTTGAATTTGAATAGATAAT